ATTTAAAATATATCGTATATAACCTACGAAAATTACATAGTTTTGTGTACTATGGCATTTTTTTATGCAAGTTGCAAGCTTTCTTGTCAGTTTTTTAAATGCTGAGCTCAGCTATGAATGTATTGATTTTACAATGATGAGTGTTTTTTTTATATTTATTTTTTTTTGTGTGTGTTTATCATCACGGTAAAATGCTTCGATTTTCTTCAACAGCAACTTTTCTGGTAGGAAAGTGAATCTAGTTGGTGTATTCTGGAGGTCAAAATTTAAAATTCCAAATAGTTTTCAAAAGCGAAAGGAAAAACAAACAAAAAATTAAGGAAAAAATGGAATTTTTTACGTTGAACCAGTTTTAGAAAAAATCGATTTTGGTTTATATTTTACAACTGAAAAAAAGATGATATGCTTGTGTTTACATTTCCTATACATTTTTAGAATTATTTTGACTCGCATTTAACTATTTATAGACATATGAAATTTTCGATTATTATTTGCTTTTTCAAACTGATGTCGAATAATTTTTTTCGCTCAGTCAAAAAAATTGTAAATATAATACAAGGTTCCTCGTAAGTTGTGTTAGGAGAAATAAAAAAAGTTGAACGTAAATCCACAATAAGTTTTTATGGGCGCTGAAACTTAGAATTTCGGCAAAATTCGTAAAAATCACGAAAATTAGCAAAATTATTTTGAATTAGAAATACATATAACATTTTCTATTTAAATTTAAGATTTTAAAATTGTATACAAGATTTCTTATTAATTTCTGTACCTTTATCAAAAGAAAAATTTCTACCGAAACTCAAATTAAATTTTTATGAGCATTTTAAATTGACATTTTTAAAGCATTAAATATTCGCTCGATATTTCATGTAGCGATTTTCTTATTTTTTTATAATTTGAAAATGAACTATTATAGACATTTAAAATTTATACCATATGTTTATTTCATCAATTCATATACTAAATAAATTTGTCAATTTTTTTTACTCGTTTTAAGCGTTTGACGGACTTTTAAAATTTTCATTTTTTTCTATTATTACCATTTTTTTTTTTTATAAAAATTCCAATTAAACTTTATTGGTTTTGTCAAAAACCATGACAATTTTTTTTTAAATGTTTGATAATATATTGTTACAATAGCAGTTTAAAAATATTAAAAATACAAATTCACGATTTTTTTTTATAAGCATTTAAAGTTCAAATGTTGACTATATTTATGAAATTGAAAATGAATTCCTCATTAAAAATATATAATATTTTCAATTTTTATAGCTAAGGATTGAAAGTTTAAAACAACGTTCCATTTAAGCAGTTTTTTCCGTAACTACAAAATCTAAAAAATCTATGAATGCAGTTATTTTTTTACAGACATTTTAAGTTCAAATTTGGACAAAATTACATATAACACAAAGAATAAAGTTTGTCATTTTGTTGTAATTCGGTTCCAAAACAGTCCAATTTTACATAGGTATATTTAATATTTTTGCAGCATCACTAGTAACTTAAGAATAATATAATTCAACTAACCGGGTACCATATTAATAATAAGTAAAAACAGTATAAAATATCCTAAACTAACATACCGTCTTCACTCAAAATCGTTTTTCGAATACAATCATATCATATCATTGAATTCAAATTTAATCCCATCCATTGCATATTTACCATCTAGACAGTAGACACCTAATGTACAGCAGAGCGACATCCACTTACCCACTTTTTTATGTTATAAATTCAACACCCTTGTGTCCTTGTAATAATGTCAGGTTACGTAAGTATGTTACAGATTGTTCACGAAAAAATACATTTCAATAACGTCAGGAACTTAAAAAGCTAGAATCTATAAATTTAATTTAAAATACGATACTTAAAATGGCATAATATTATTAAATCTAGGTTATTAATTATAATGTAGTCATAATTTATTCAACATAATACTTGTATACTGCAAAATATAATATAATATAATTTCAACAAATACATTTGAGTTGGTAAACATTATAACTACATTAACCATTAGTTAAAATGGTTTACAATATTATTTCTTCTTTTATGTATAGATAATTTGATCAGTTTGACCTAAAGTTTAATATTTTCGTAATCTCTTCTGCAAGGAAAATTCGACAAATGACAGAGATATATAGGTCTGAACATAATATTCAGTTTTTACGATGTATAACATGTTAAAAAAGTTTTAAAATATAATTTTTTTTGAATAAAAACAAAATTATATAATTCTGTGCTTGATTTTGAACAGTTTATTCAGAAAATGCTACAAATTTTTAATTTTTAATTTTAACTTTGATGCATTCATTCATTTCACTGTAGACATGTTTTTGTTGAAACTTTCTAATTAAAAATATATACTATTTGATATAAAATCTATTATCAAATGAATGTGCTCTGCACTTATTGACTTATATATATTTTTAATATAATTACTTGATACCATAATAGCAACATTTTAAGTACTGGTAGTGTACTTACAGCCAGATAAAGGATATCAAAGAAACATATTATTATTAAATTATATTAATTTGCATATGATAAAAAATTCATTACACAAAATAATATGTAAATATTTAATTTTTTATTGTTTATTCACTACAAAAATACATAAATACATAATATGTACGGGACTACGCGACAGATATTCTGAAAAATTATTAACCAATACAAAACGAATACAAACTTATAACTTAGCATAATGGAAGTGTGGATACGGAACATTAAAATTTTGTCGGAAAAGGGTCATATGCCTGATTAAGACTACTTAATAAAGTGACAAGTCTATGAAACAAATCAATTTGTACTAGAATGATATTTAATATATTTTGTTTGTACTGTATACATATTTTTTTTTGTAAATACAATTTAGTTTAGCGTTAAAGAAATAAAGAAGCAATTTAAAGAAATGCACACGTTTAAAAGAGAGTATATCTGTTGCAATAATGAACGAGATGACAGATGAATTATTGAAATTCATCATCTGAATCATACATAATAATATCATTAATATAATCATTCTCCGCGTCATTGAACATCATGGCTACCAAATTGGCAACCAGAGCTAGTCTATTATCAAAATGCCGTGGTGTTTCAATTGAAATGCAAGTGTTTTGGTCATTCGCAAGCGATTTGTAATCAAAATTGTTACCAGGACCACCCATCTACAAACAAAATTACACCTATTATTATATGAATTTGATAAAATATTGATAGAAAAATTCAAAATATTGTTAACAATTAATTCATCAATGTCTACTACTAGTTATTAATAATACTACGATCTACGAAAGCAAACGGAGGAAACACGTGTTTGGTCGAACATTCGACTACGTTCATCGTGTGATCATAACCGGAGTCACTAAAATGAAAGTAGTGTACACTTGAATACTTGATCGATTTATAATAATTATAGTTTATAGCAGATCAGGAGATCACATAGTTACGCGATTTATCCGCATTCAATGAACTGAATACTGCAGGGTCTTAAACATAAATGTGCGAAAATGACCCTCCGTTAAATCTTAAATGGGTAAAATATAAAGTTACAATTAACAAAACAATTAAAAACTTTCTGTATAATTCAGAATAATTTATTTGAACTCCTCGTATAACTGTAGGTACAAGGTACATCTATTTGATATTTTTTTCTCCATAAATGAAGAACTATTATTATTACTTTATTGTAAATACTCTTAAAGTAATACGATTTTGTACACTAAAAACGTGTAGCAAACAAATTGTAACTTAACTCAGCTTTTTGCAAGCATGGATTTGGAAATGAACATATAATATACCTGATGAATCATTCATCAGAATCAGAATCAGAATCAGAATCAGAATCAGAATCAGAATCAGAATCAGAATCAGAATCAGAATCAGAATCTGAAATAGAATCATCCTCGAAGTTTTCGTCATTGGCGTTCTCATCATCAACGTCATCATCCTCAAAGACAATAAACCTTACATTTTGTATTATCCGTTTATTGGATGGTCGATACAGGTCATCTTTAAATGGAATTTTACGATCAAATAATTTTTTAGAATTACGCATCTACAAAAAAAAAATTCACCCATTATTGCAAGAAGTTGATTTTTAATTAATAAACAATTCTGACACAACAATATACATATTAAATCAATACATAGATTTGGTATGACATAAGTATGTTCCTATTATAAATTTATATTATATAAATGCAATTTTGGAGCGATTCGGTGAAGACGTTTTCCTTTTACAATACCTCGAATGTAGCTTGTCAATGATCATTAAAATATAAGTCACTGATATAGATGTTAAATTTAAGTTCAATGATAAATCATTACTCATACTCAAAAGGAAAACGGTTCTGAGCGGAGACGGCTTGTCAGAGTATATGCTTAAGAATATTTTGTTAAAGTTTATTTTTATATAGTAGTTATGCTGTAGATTGAACTTATTTTTGATAACAACAAAACATCACAAATATTATAATATAGTAATAATTATTTTCATAATACTAGTTCATATAATGTGGCTATATAGTTATATTATAATACTATGTAGATATAAGTCAATACTGACGTGTAGTATGCAAAATTTTAAAATGGGTTCATCGTATAAATATCCTAAAATGAATCTGAATACTTTGAAAATGTCATTGTGGGTAGTAAATAATAATAATTCAAGTCTCTACGAATAACATTTTTTAATTACAGATGTATACCTAAAATTGTTATTGTTCATTTCAATACTAAGTTTATCAACATTTAAAGTTGAAATGTCTTTTTAAAAAATGTACCTAGTATCAAGATATTACCTACATTAGTTTCATTTTTAGGTTCCCGTAGAAAATATAAGATACCTTGTGTTGAATTTTTAAGTCTTACTCACTAAAATAGAAAAGTTTTTAACTACAAAATATTCGTGTTAATAATTATAAAATATTGTGTATAATCGAGGTGGATAATATAACTAATAAATAATCAAAATACTATATTATTTAAATAATTACCGTGATGTAGACGGGCTGCGATATTATTCTGGATGTTGAAAATTTATTGAAGGCCGCCAGACGTCTTAATACCAACGATGTAGGATCGGCTATGATGGAATTGAAAAATCAGTGGCTAAAATTGAAAATGTAAATTATTAACTATAGAAAATAATTTTAATTTTAGCTTAAGTTTTCCCGAAGTGACGAAAACAAACAAATTATGAGTGTATTAATACGAATACCAATAATTATAAAACCATAATTATCACGGTCGATTATATATTAAAGATAAACTAATACATTAGCATCAAAGTCTTTAAAATGTGGTTGGACTCAATATCTTAAATTTTTAATATAGAAGTTGCCTAAAAATACGTTTATATAAATCATGCAGGTCACATTTTTTAAAAAAAAGGTGGGGCCATGTCCTGACATTAACAAGGACCTCAGCTGAAGTAAAAAATAATAAAAATACCATAATATAACTATAATAATTATTACCTTGATTATATCGGCGAGACGGGATGACTCCAAATGTCACGAAACTCACACTGACAACGGACAGCTAGCGTTTAAGATGAAAGGACTGACGCGCCAAACCTAATCCAGTTTGCCTGCAGCAGTGTCGACTATGGACCGTTGTGGACTGTGGTAGGCAGACTAACACGACATACCTATACTGCTCCCGTTGGTGGGTAGGCACAACAAATAATTGTGTGCGCTGGCAACAGGACGTGTTTTAAGAAGAACTGGTTCCTGGTGGTGGTAGGCTCAGTTGGTGTGCGCTGTGGTAGGCATGGTGCAGGTAGCGGGGTCATAGTACTATTTGCCCTGCTACGTCACGTTTTTTTTCCAACGCTTAAAATAATTTATTATTGATCTGATTATTGTAGCTGCATTAACGCACACTATAATTATTATTTTGTGACTGTGAGTGGATTCATAACTAATTGTGACGTGTATAGCCGTGTACCAAAATATCGTCACAGTTATCAGTTTTGTTCGCGGGTTCAGGTCTCATCAGTACGATTTAATATAATATACTGTGCTTATTAGAAAACGGCTATCCACATGGCTTACCACACAAGTAGAAGTTTAATATTAAAAAATATATTTAATATATTTAATAAATTTAACTTCAGGTAGTCATGGTATCGTGACATCGTGTCGGTACATTCAAACATATTTTTACAACTGCGTTTTGTTAAGCCAATCAGAAAAATGTATTTTACACGATGTCACACGAAACAATACGACACAGCGAGTTGTGAAGCCACTCTGTATACCCAATATTGTCCCTAAATATTAAGAGGATGTCACGACATTATTGATTGTAGTATCAAACTAGCTCCCTAACGTAAAATGTAAAAAAATTGAGTTTATACAGGATAATCAAATTTTTATCATTGGCTTTACTGTTACAGTGAATTGACCTATTACAAAACTTGAAGTTAATAACTTTAACTGCGTCTATGCGTTACATATTTTACGATATTTCAATTATTCTACGATAAATATTTTTTTTTTTTTAATCGTTATATTTGACATATACTCATAATACTTGAAAAAAATTGAAATTATATCTTAAAAAATGCACACAGCTATAAGTAAAATGCTCTTAACTTCGAGTTTGTAAATAGCTTAGTTCACTATAGTATTAAAACTAAGGCTAACGAAATATGATTGGCTATGTTGAAATGTTGAATACAAACATCATAATAAATGTTTTAGGTCGACACATAATAATTATTAAATATTTTTTCTTTTTATTGAACTTAAGCCTGGCATCTATGGCCATTAGCTGTTTGTAGGGGAAACAGTTGGTTTTAGAGCACGTATTGTATGTGACATAATATATGGCAAGGATTTTGTTGCCAAAAATCAAGGGCGGTCACTGGTCACCCATTCGAGAGCTATCAACGCCGGGCGGTGCATACACTCGGAGCATTTCCGCAGATCGAGCCTACGACTGAGCCTCACCAAGCCAAATTATAATTATAATAATATAATGATAGTTGGTTTCATTAGGCACATCAGTACGTCGTATACAGGCAAATTAAATCTTTATAATGACCATTTTAGATATTAATGCATTAGTTTTATAATGGTACATGGGTGGATTCTAAATATAATGAATTATGAGTTAATTATTTAATTATTAACCTTGTGGCTATGTGTACCAATATAATTTAGTAAGTCCCTCATCAGTCTCCAATTACACAAAAAGTGATCAAAAAATGATTTCTTATCAAATAAATTCCAGAATTACGTATAACTATAATAACAGGAATAAATAAAATATGAAATATTATACTATGCAGGTAAAATAATATATCATAAAGCTATTTAATATGTTATGTCAAAATTAAAAATATATTATAATACGTATTTTGTTTTAAAATGTTATGATTTTTATGTTATTGCACAATATCGATTAAAATGTTTTATAATGTTCAATTAGACTTTTAACATAATTACATAATTTTTTATTTATATTTATGTAAATTAATTTATATAAATCTCATGGTAAACATTCATAAATATTTAAAATCTTATGATATATTTTGTACAAATTAAAAGATAAATTAAATATTTTATACTTCAATTAAATTAAAATATAAGACGTGTTTTATAATCTTTATTAGCAGTGAAATGTTATAATCGTGGTATAAATAGTATAGCCACCAAGGTAAGTGTATTTTAGACCAAACTTACCTATTACCTCTTTTTCCTGGATCTCAATGCACCACTTTCAAAATGTACAAAAATTATTGTGGACCCAATTTCCTTAGAGCTTACAGCAAAAAAGGTAAGACTCAGTTACATTTGCCTATAAAATAGTAATCCACGACCTTTCGTTACTCATTAGTGATGATAAGAATTCTTAGTAGGTTCTATTGTAGGTCAATAATAATGTCATTGTTTTCCACTTAATTAAATGACATTGAATTTTACGTTTGTCGTAGCTGCTTCCAGCACCTACTTATACTTTTATATTACAAGTGCATAATAATATAATAAGTACATCGGGTCCACTCTTGCAGCAATATCTAGTGCCTATTGATACAAAGATTTAAATTAACGCATTTTAATATTATTACCTAGATAAAGAATATAGTAATAACGATTTTATCTATTATAACATCACTTCTTAAGTGGACCCTACAGCCGCATGTGTTGTCTCCGTCTTACAAACGTACAACATATCAAAAACTGTTTTGCGCGAAATAGAACCACTCAAGCTGTAGTCCAAGCTGAGCAACCAAATTTTTACACTATAAACAAGAGAACATATTTTATTGTGCAACATCGTTTTTATTTGTTCGATATGACAAGTACAAGAATAGTTCTTATTGCTTATAAATTAATTATTTCAAACTTGAATAATCTTGGACTACAGTTTGAGTGGTTCTATTTCACTAAAAACACTTTTTGATATGTTTTACGTTTGTAAGACGGAGACAACACATGCGGGTGTAGCGTCCTCTTATGGATTTTCGATCCCGTCTCTGTTTTCGACCAAGATAGACCAAACTTTTGCCCATTGTACCGTCCCTCCCAGTCATCGGATAAGACTTCTGAAAACCTATTTAAATTCGTCATGAATTGCTAAAAACGACTTTACCACATTTTTTTAATTAAACTTCTTAACTGTTCCAAATTATATTCTTCAATTTTGTACGTTAAGAATTTTGAAATGTAAATAAAAATGAAGTTGAAAAAGAATTAAAAATGAATTAAAACTGAAAGTACAATATAATTATACTATATATCATATTATAGGCTATAATTTATAGCTGTAGTTATTATAACCTTGAGTGACAATAAATTGGTAATTTATTATTTCGTCGTCATGATAATATATGTGATATAACGAAAAGTTTAAGATTAATTATACGTTTGAACTAAAAAAATTATGTCGATCTATTCGAATTATGACTTGGTAAAAATATAAAGGTTTTATATGTTTTGCTATTTGATACAACAGTTAATATCATTTTTGACGGAATGAAATACAATTATTTAAATATATTTACATTCTACATACTTTATCAGTTACAGCTAATTAAATAAAACTCATATGTTCAAAGTGCATTATTTTTTTTTTAATATTCTTTGTAATTTCATCTGCTGTATGTAAACTGTGGCAAAACTGATAAGATACACTATACAAACTGCAGCAATTTATTTCATTTAATTTCTATACATACTATATTTACTTATCGATACGGTACTGTACGATACGATACATAAGTTTATCGTATAATCATAAATATTACGCGTTATGACAGCTATACGTATTTTATCGGTGGCTTCATAATCGATAACGTTTGTAGTTTGTATACGCTGTCTTGTAACATGAACGTAGTATTAAATGTTTGTGGTTTGCATATTATATTATACTCAATAAAAGTCTCTAAAGACTATGAGAGTATAAGACTCTTGTGAACTTAGCAGAGCTATGACAACAGACAACTTTTAAAACGGTCGAAGAAATTTGTTAGTGACTTGTTGGAGATTGTTAGACAATTTTCAAAGTTGTTAGACTTTATTTTAGTAGTTAAACCACTTTCTGTTTTTGCACTGCTCTCTTCAAGGCAGCAGTGCAAGAGTTTGTTCAAACTTTCTACTTCACTCGAACAGTGCATCTTAGTTTGTTAGACATTGTTAGGCTACTTTCAAAGTTTGTTAGACATTATTTTCGTACTTAAAAAAAGATTCGTTGTTTGATCGAGATAAAAAAAGTTCTAAGAAATGTTTGCGCTGCTAGAGATAGCAGTGCAAAAGTTAAAAATATTTAACTCCGAATATAAAGTCTAACAACATTTGAAATTTGTCTAACAATCTATAAAAACTCACTAACAATTTGTTAGACCCTTTTAAAAGTTGTCTGTTATCATTGCGCTGCTAAGTTCACAAGGGGGAGTATTAGCCCTAAAAATAAAGAAAAAACCAATGGAAAAATTGAAAAATATATTATAAAAAATTATTATTATTATTATCTTATTATTATTTGATTTGTACTATACTTTCAATATAGTCGTCAAATCGTTTGTTAATTTAAATGATTTATAAATTATTTTGATACACTATTTAGTCAAACCAATAAATTATCAAAAATATTATCTTCAATAATTTTACACATATGAAAATTTCATTGAGTATAAAAAATAGTAGTGTTATACCTACTTTAATGTATAATGTAAAGTTTTATTTTTTTTCAAACTTATTTTATGTTACCTACTGGAAACAGATTTCTTTAACTAAATTCTTAGCATCTTTGTAGGCCTCTATAATATTTCCAATACAAATATGAAATATAGGATATATAAATATATCTTCTCGTAATAATAACATTATAGTATCGTTAGGTAGGTACTTACTATGTAGAATATTTATATTTTCATCAGTAGCTTCATAACCTTTATAACCCAATTTTATAAGATTGAGCAATTTCAGAGGTAGGTAGTTTAATATTCGAACATTAAAAATTAATAATATTATAATAGACTACAGTAACAGATACTAAGATTATTTCAAACAATATCACAATATTACAGAATATTAAGTTATTCTTATAGCTTTAACGTTAGAACTCTAGAATCTACATTTTAACAGTATTTTTCTATTATATAAATACGGATACTTATACCTAACTTGAGGTTTGGAGAAATGAATTGTCG